CAGATAAGGTGAGACTGGAAAAGGTGGGTCAGAAGGGATGTGCCTTTGGGGTATATATTTTGTCCCTGCTGAGCAGAACACTCTCTCTCTGAATCCTGGGGGCCATTTTCTGAGTTGCTTTTTTCCTTTGTACTTTTCTTCCATGATGTTCTGCCTTATCTTGGGTCCAGAGCAATGCAGCCAACAGTCTATGGACTGAGACCTCTGAAACCATGTTTACCAAATAAACTTTTCCTTTTCTAAAGCTGTTTTTGTCAGGTTTTTTGGTTATAGCAGCAAACTGCTGATTTAAATACCTGGTTCTTTCAAGAATGAAAAACCATTTTGGCTTTAACACCAGATGGTCATACTGGTGACCATCTTAGCACTGTCCCATAAAATTTTCTTTAATGAAAATTCATATAAATATTATATATCTGACCTCACTAAGGCAATAGCCACTGATTGCACGAGGCTACTGAAGTTCAGGAAATATGATTAGTGTGACTGAGGCAGTAAATGTTAAAGATTCAATTTTAGCTGTCTAAATTTAATTTTAAATAGCCACTGTGGCAGGTAACTACTTAGCTCAATTCTCTTCCTAATCTACCCCTTCCCTTCCTGCTGCCTTCTCTTCTACCACCCTTTCATACTACCCTCCTTATAAGGATGGCTCTTATTCCTAGCTCACCCAAGGGGACAGCTTGCCCATGTGATTGCCTGGATTCTGTCTCCAGATGCGAGGCTGCTTCTTTTCAGTGTTCCTTCCCCAAGGCTGATTCTACACAGTGAAGCTTAGAAGCACCACGCTCATCTTCCTGAAGTTTGGACCTATGTCCCTGGCCAGATGCTCTCTTTCTCCAATTCATTTGGAATCTCATCCTTGGACTAATGGGCTTTGATCTACATCCTTACTATGCCTGGTTCTCTCTATGGCTGTGCTTAATATTTGTTCCTGCAACTACCTATACTGTCCATTGCCTGCACAGAATACAACAGACACTAGTATGTAAAAACATGGATGTGTAACCGATATGATTCTGCAATCTGTATACGGGGGAAAAATGGGAGTTCATAACCCACTTGAATCAAATGTACGAATTATGATATGTCAAGAGCTATGTAATGTTTTGAACAACTAATAAAAAAAAAGATTCTCACCTCTAGTCTAAGCCAAACTGAACCCACTCATATTTCCAGCACTTGACCACTACTGTTTTGTAAACTGCCCTATATCCTTCACCATGAGAAGATGTAAGGATTAAGAGAATTTAGGCAACAGCAGAACTATCTCTTTAAAAAGGTTTGAAAATACCCAAGCTACAACAGGTAGACATTTTTAAAAAGAATGAGACAAATTCCTTTTAAAAAGAAGTGGAAGGTTAAAAAGAAAAAAAAAAGAGAGAGCAATTTTCTTTTCTTTTGCTAAAACCTGCTGCTATATGACTCTTAAAAAACATCCCAGAGAACAAAGCACAAAATCTAGATCTAGAATTTGCCACAGGAAAGCATATCCTGAGAGTTGGAAGGACTGAAGAGGGTGGTTACTGCTGAAGCTCTAGAAAACACGAAGTAAGGACAGCCTCTAGACCCTCACATGGAGCTTGAGCTAAGTGATGAGTATTGAGAAGCACTGGGGATTTTGGCTGCCATATAAATGGGCCAGTTGGATTTTTGAATAGATCATTTATGAAGGTTTTTAAGTGGCTAATCAAATACCAGAGGAGTAAAAGGATCCATATTCCAACTGTTTCCAGGAGTGTTTGAAGAATTGATTAGATAATAGCATCTATACTTCCAGAAGCTAGCTTCATGGGAGTGATTGGGCCAAATGTTACACGAGTCCATATTCTCTACACAACGGTGAACTAACTTTTCACAAGCAGCTTTTTATCCATCCTTATATGCTAAGTGCTGGACCAAGGAACTAGTTACCAGGATTGTTTTTTCCCAATTATCTATTATTATGTGAGTGAATAATCTTATGCACAAAGACTGGCAGTCAGCTTTTCAGGTAGATGAACAGATGGTGTCAAAACTGTAGGAGTCACACACATTGAATCACATCCATAAAGACAGAGGATCTAATACAAAGAACTAATGGGTAGGTGGGATATTTGATAGTCATAGTCCTAAACCTGAAATAAATTGCACAATACTATGAAAACACCATTGCCTTCCTTCTATATGGGTTTATTTATATATAATATCGACTACACAGACATGAATACACATACACCTAGGCAGAGTATCAGGTTAGTTCTCTTCTGTTGCTGCTTTTATATTTTTTTCTTTAATGATTACAATAACATTTTGAAAACTTAATATATCTGACTTGCATTCCAGCAGGGTTCTGTTCAGGATTGAAAAGCAACTTAAATCTAGACAGCCAGCTTCTGCTAGGGGAATTAGGGTTTCTGTTCAGTATAATAAATGATCCCAAGATAAATATATTTCTTTTTAAAATCCTAGATGGTAGTGTATCTTCTTTCCAATACAGAAACAGAGGAGTCTGGTTCTATTTAGTTTGTCTGATTGCTTTGAAGAAGGGGGACAGGTTGACTCTGGAAAAGCTATGGTCCTCTATTCATTAAAGTGTCAATAAAACTCAGTCCAGGCATATTGACAGCGGATTAGCTTGGGCTGAGTCTGTGTACAAAACCAATGCCTTTTTTAACCCAGCTTGTTTCCAGATCAATACGCCCATCAGCATTCGAAAATTAGCCCAAGATGAGATTCCAATACTTGAGGTGGTGTGTCATGCTAAGAGGGCACCTAGCCAAGTCACAGATGTAAACATCAAGATGTGGATTAGACATTTTCCATTAGCTTGGACGTGAGTGAAGATGGATGTAGAGTACATTCCCTCACCCCTCCCATCATCCCATCTCCCAGGTACTCTACCTTCTCTTCTGGAGCCCATGTAAGATCTTCACACTATAATTCCAGCCATTTTCTTCAAAAAGCATTTATTACATGTTCAATTTGTATAAGACATTCAACCAAGTATTAGGGCAAGAGTGTGTGGGTGTGTGCAGAGGGTGACTTAAGGGAAAAAAAAAAAAACTCTGCCATAAACCACAGTGTCTTGTTTTAAAGGAGACATTAGCATTTTTCATAATTCCTTCCTTTCCTCTATCCATAAATGTTCTGCTTCCTAAGCAAATTCCTGTTCGTAGTTCCTATTCTTTCATTACCATTACTAGATATTCTGCCCTAGGAATGACTTCAAAAAGCACAGTCTAGTGGAAATTACAGAAGGTGCCACTGGAACATTTGCCAAACCTTCCCATAGTTTGGTGATTCTTTATTTTGTCTACCATAAAAATGTATTTATATTAAAACAGACAGACATTGAAACAACAATATCATGTAACAATTCCTACCCTGGTATGGATAACATACTTTAATACCTTTTATGCAATTCTATTTAACAAAATGCAATTTGCATGTAGCAGCTTGAAAAAGACTTATTCATTTATAGAACCAATAAAATAAAGAAAACATTATGATTTCTTTGGTGAAAAAAAAATAGTGAGGGAAAAAAATCACACACACACAAAAATTTTTGTGAGCACACTCTGCCACAACGTGAGAGCTTCCAATGTCAAACTGGCATCATCTCTTACCAAGCAAGGCCTGATGTTCCACTCATTCTAGCCTGTCCTCCTATTATTACAGCTCACCCTATCTTGCTTTTCACAGTTTGGATTCGCAAGGCAAGTTTTGCTGTCTCCTCCATTCTCATAGCTAGCTTTCCCCTGATTCTTCCAGTTTGTTGAGCTTTACCTTCTTGAACCATGCTCTTTCCCATTTTCCTATAGCCAGTCCTCCCAAAGCTCTACCCTTCTCTCAAGGATGCTGACAGGAAGGGTCAGCTTCAGGAACCTCCAGGAAAGGAAGGAGTTCATTGCACCTGGCTGGATGAAGAAATGCCAACAGAGCAGCTGGCATTTAATTGCTTGGGGGCTTTAGCTTCTGAGATAATAAAATGTTTTTAATCCACAGTAAAACCTATCTAAAAAGTTTAAAAAATGACAACAGCATTCAAAAATAGAAAGAAAAAAAAAAGAACTTTTTTAATAGCACAACAGCTAACACATAAGTAGCCTTTCTATGGGCCAGGCCTTCTCCTAAGTGTTTTATGTGCTGTACATGTAAAATTTAATCCTCACCCCTGCTCCACACATTGACCCCATTATACAGAAAAAGTCCTGTGAGGCACAATGATAACTTGATCCAGTTCTCACAGCCAGAAAGCAGCCCATTGTGACTCTAAGCTCTTACTGACTAGGAATGCATCCACAGCCTGCATTATCTGAATGCTCCGGGACCAGTTCTGCTTTGTCCCAAGTTCTGAGCAAAAGAGCATAATGCAGAGAAACATACACAGAGACAAACTCCAAATGAACTGCAGCAACAAAAGAACCCAAACAAACAAACGAGTCCTCAAAAGTGCAGAAGGGAAGGACAGCCAAGCTGTAACAAAAACATAATGAATCTGATAGATTTTAGAAGAGAAGTGACAAATCAAAACCCAAGGTTGAGGCATGAGAGAAAATGCAAGCAAACCGGAAACAAAGGGGCTGGTTGGGAAGGATGCACTTGAGGGAAGATCCCTGAGCCTCCTTGATGGCTCTGCTTTGTGTCAAGGCTGGTCTAGGCTATGGAATATGTGTAGCACCAAAAGAACACTTTAACGCCAGTCTTAACATAAAGCAATCTTGGAGCTGGATGAAACATTAAAAAAAAATGCTTAGGGGAGAAAAAAACAAGGAAATCAATAATTAGAGGATAATTTCTATGAAAATATATTCTGGAATGAAAGCAAAAATGAAAACAAAAGTTCTATTAAATGGGCAAATGATTGCAAAATTCAGCTTCTAAAAGCAAAATGACAGAAAGATGTCCTCACTGGGTAGGATAAAAAGAATACATCTCTATTAAGGTCAATGAAAAAGTCATTAATATACAGGCTTTCCTTGCCATCCATTCTGACCTCCCAGCCAAGCTTCACCCACCTTGTACAATGAGGTGGACCCGAGAGGTCTTTGGGTGGTTGTCTGTTTGCACAGAGCAGGTGTATGGGCCCTCGTCATACACATCCACATTCTGGATCTCAATGCTGTACTGAGTTTGCGTGTTGCTCAGGAGGACCACACGAGGATCCAGGCACCACTTGTCATTCCCAGCGTAGAGGATGGTGCTGCGGTTTAGCCAGGCCACCCGGGTAACCCGGTTGTCAATCGTGCACCTGAAGATAAGACAAGACAGGTAAGTCAAAAGATCAGGGAGTAAACAGGAGCCATTAGAGTGGGGTTGTCATGGCAAGGCTAGGATTATTATTCAGCCTTATCTTCCCCCCTTATGTCTGTGTATGTGTGTGTGTGTGTGTGTGTATATACACACACACATTTACTTTTTTGATCTGTTATTGGTGAACTTTCTGAAACACAGTAGCCAAGGCCTTTTGGGATTAAAATCTCAGAATATTGGTTGTCTTAGACTTGCAGGTCCAAAGGAGTTCAGTGCCTCTGAAATTATCTGGGCAAAGGATTGCTTCAAACAACTTCTCAGTTATAACCTGGAGGTATCTTGCATACTCAGAATGGCTGGATCCTTTAGCACTATTGGCCTTCCCTTGGCCCAAGGATTTCCATGCTGTGGATGCTTATAATCACTCTAATTACTGTCTAGGTGTTTTGAGTGTACTAATTTATACAATGCTTACAACCACTCTATGGTATATATTCTCTTGGCGAAGGAATTGAGGAACAGAGCGACTGAATAACTCTCCAATTCATATGGATAATATGTGCTAGATCAGAAACCCAGCTTTTAACTACTAACCATTATTACATGCATCTCAGAATAGCAAATTCTGACAGAAGGCTTCTGAAGTCAAAACTAAATATGGACCACCACCATTGCTATTTATCTTCATTACACCCAGGGGCAGAAATGTTCAATTATTGCTAGACTAAAGGCATTTTCCCAAATCTCAAAACTGTTTGCACATATAAAAATAGATTCCTTTTCTTTTATTTTTGCATCTGGAGTCCTCAAATTGTGGAAGCTTCCTTCTCTTTTCTACACTTTAAAATTTTCCAGAGATCTCACCAAGTCCTCATCATGTCTTTCTGTCTGAATTCATTCCCCTCTCTTGCTATACCACACATATTCTATGGCCTTAGGGCAAATTCACAAATACAGCATCCTGATCCTAACCATAATGCTGGAAATAGCAATGTTACACAGTACATATAATGATGCCTCAAATTTATACATTCTATTGCAGTATACAAAGCACTTTTACATTTACACTGTCTCATTTGATTCCTGCGTATCTGTGAGGTAGATGCTCTCACCCATTCTCTGTTGAGAGACCAGGACTTTGGAGTTTCCAAATGATCTGGGTCTTGCCCAAGGTAAAAGCATGGAAATAATGGAGTCAGATCTATCTCTCAGTCAGTGTTTTGTATTTCTGGTTCTGAGTATTCCTCATAAGGCACAAAGCTTAATTTTTAGTGGGGAGGGGTTTTTCTTCTGTTTTATTCTCAAAACGATCTGTCATAAGTAAAAAAAAAAAAAAAAAAATCTAAGAGCTAATACTGAGCACCTTCACATTGCTATTTCTAGTTTCCTCAGGCAGTTGTTCCCTCTCGAGATGAGACATCCTGTATTATGCATCCTTTCCACTTTACTTGTGTAAATGTCACACCACTATGGAAGGACCACTCAGGTGCAGGTGGACGTTTTGCTGAGAGCTCCTGCAGGGAAAATTGCTCAACCAGAAAAAAAAAAAAAAAAAAAAAAAAAAAAACCTTTGCTCTGGTATCCAGCAAGTTTTGAGCTGCTTATTGAATTTTCTAGATATTCAGAAGAGATGCATTGTCTCTGATGTCAGTAAAACATACAGCATGAAAATGGTGGAAGATCTACTGGGGAAAGATAAGGAGACTATTTCTGGAAAAGGGTGTAACACACTTATGTCAGAATCATGAGAGGCACTTAACCTCTATCTCCCACTAGTCTACTGATTCAGAATCTGGGAAACCAGAAATACAAATTCATAATAATGGGCAAGTTGGGCCATGTACTCACTAAAGTTTGATGTTGAATAGTGTATCCTGGATCACCTACATAATTTATTGGAGCCTGGAGCAAAAGGAAAATGGGGAGAACTTTGCTCAAGAATTAGTAAGAGTTTTAAGATGGTAAGAGTAGAACATGAAACTAATTGCTGGTCCCACTGCAAGTAATCACAGTTGGAAATCTAGCTATGAATGCACCTCAAACTTCTTTATACTATTGAACTGCCTTGGAATCTTGATGAAATATGGATTCTGAGTGCATAGATCTGAGGTAGAATCTGGGATTCTGTATCTTTAGGAAGCTCACAGGTGATGACAGTATAGATGGTCGGTCTCTGGATCGCTTCTTGAGAAGCATTTATCTGGAGATAAATTTTGTGTACATTAGCATTTGCAAAGCACCAAGATAGCAAAAGTGTGATCAGCAAACAGCAGGCTCAATATCACTTGGGAACTTGTTACAAATACAGAATCCCATGCCCTACATCAGAGGAATTGAATTGGAATCTGCATTTTAATAAGATCTCCAGGTAACTCAAATGCACATTGCGAGGCCTAGAGTGTACTAAAAACCTTCTTTTATGCTTTAATGATAATATCCGGACTATATTCTGGGAGGGAACAAGTGGAGAGAAGGTCAGACAATGAAGGAGGTTCTTGACACTGTTCCTTCCATTACATCTTGGGCTGCCATTCCTGAAATATGGATTTGAAATGACATTGATCTCAAATCCCTTAAGAGCAACAACACAATCCACAGCTTGCTTTACTAGTAATGTACCTGGGACACCATTTATGTTAACAAGCATTCGCTGCTCTGACTTGCATGTGGGTCCAAGAAAGGAACTGGTTAAAATTCACATTTATGGCCAATACTTTATTGAACACAAATTACTATATGCTAGGTTACCATGCAATTCCATTAGCTGCAATTTTAGCATCTCAAAAACTTGATCATGTTCACTTACTGTTGACAATTTACAGATGAGACTGAGACTAAGAAACATCTGTATTGATTATGATCACACTGATATTAAGCTGTAGAAATAAGAATAACCAATGCTGTTGGTCTTTTTTTTTCAAATTTGATATTCTTAAATGGCCTTATGTGATCTTAAAAGAACATCTAGATTGGTGGTTCTCAAATTCAAATTGAATCATCATCTCCTGGATGATCTGAAAGCATTAGTCATTGCTGAGTCCCTGCCTGCACTTTTCTCATCCAGTAGTTAGGAGGTGGGGGGTCTAAGAAACTGCATTTCTGATATAATCCCAAGTGGTATAGATGCTGCTGGTCTGGAGACTCCTACTTTGAAAACCAATAACTTAGATATCTTGTTCCTGGTGAAATGAGAGGAGGAGAGTGAATGGGCAATAGGAAATGACTCTTGTTGGAAACAATTTCCCATTACACTGTACCCAATGTGTTCTGGGAAAACAGAAGCAGACTCCTAGTTATTTTTCTCCAACTAGATACCAGTTAAATGCCCATAGTACAGGAAATGCTGACCAACAGACTCTAAGTAACGTGAATAATTGTTGTTGATGGCTGTAACACAGGCATCTCACATCCTCAAGAGGAATTCATGAGGACTGTCCTGGGCTTTCTTGTGAGCATCTAATTATTGAAAATCGACTAAAACAGAAGTGTTCCCACCACACCGCATTGCATTACAAAGCCAAAGAGGTTCCTCTGCAGATACACTAGCGCTCAGAACATAGCCAATTTCCAGCACAGTTATGCGGCCCCTGTGATATACTACGCTGAAAAGCTGGCATAACTTCAGCTGCGGTTTTGGGCACATCCAAGGTCATGTTTAGATGTCCAAACTGTCACTGCTGGATATCAGTCTTGCTGAGTCTCCACGGAATTAACGCTGGCTTCTGCAGAGATGGATCACAAAGGTAACTTGGCAGCCAACTCCGGTCACCTCCTCATACCTGCCCCCATCTATCTGTCTCATTTATCCAGTCTCCATAACAATGCAGAGGAGACATTTCTCCTAGGTTAAAGAAAAAAAAAAGTGAAAATGAGCATAATTGCTCTCTCAGTCAGAGCAAGTGCTTTGGTGGATAGGGATTAGGTAGAAATTTGGGATTGGGGAATTAAGCCAACATGTTCCTTTATTCAGACACTGTCCTTCATATGGTTCTTCTATCAAATGACTCCTCAAACACATGATTTTATTTCACCTTCTTCAAAAAGGAAATTAAATATATTATTAACTAGGAGTAAATAAGGTTTCATAATTTTCTGTCCATGACAGGGGAACAAAAATGGAGATGTTTACTTCTCAGATATCAGAGAAACAGTCCCAAGTTGACAGAATGCAGGCCAGGAAGAGAGATGGGAGACAGAAGGGAGGGAAGGGTCCAGAATAAACTTTGAAAGTCTCTCACCTTTTCCACAATCTTGATACATACCACCTTTCCACTTCAACATCCTCCCTGCCCAACACAACTAAGATAAAAGGAACCAATAACAACCTTAGTGTGCCCAAGGATTCTGGTTGGACCCGGGATCTCTCAGCTCCCCTCCATTCTGGTAGCTTTCGGTTATCCAGCTTCAATGCCAGCCACTCAGTCACTGGCCATCAGCCTTTGGCACTTCTGAGTGACTTTTCTATCACCACCAGTCCCTCCTGCATGTGATCCCAATGGACAGCAATTGGCCTAGCCTATTCAGCATCCTGGAGCATCCAGACAGAAAGCCTTGAAGAGACATTAATTTGCCATTTCAGTCTACATATAATTTCTCAGTGTATGTATGTATATGTGTATGTGTATTTCTTGTTCTTCTTCTAGAGAAATTTCTTCTAGAAACTCTTAGTAAATAGATGTATTCTAGTTGAGCATGGATTATTGAGGGCATTCTCCCCCCTGCTCATATTAATTGTCAATGCATTCTCTTTAATGATGAAAATTGCCATGTGCAGTTGGCCAAAAGAGGATCCTGCCATATGAGCACATGTTTAGCCATGAACCAGAAAACAGAATATGGTAGAGAATGCTGTATCAACTGTAATTTTCAGCTACTGCATCTATTGTCCCAAATCTCTAAAAATGCAGTCCTTTATATCCTTAATGTCTTGCTGATGAAAGTGGCTTTATTACACATGCTGCATTTATATAGTGAGGAATACCACAAAACTATTAAGGA